ATCCAGGGCCTCACACATGCTGGGCAAGCACTCTACTGCTGAGCCACAACCCAGCCCAGTTTGCCAGAATTTTATTGAGAATTTTTGCATCTATGTTCATCAGGTATATTGGTCTGAAGTTTTCTTTCCTTGATGTGACTTTGTCTGGTTTTGTTATCAGGGTAATATTAGCCTCAGAGAATGAGTTGGGAGGGTTCCCTCTTTTTCTATTTCATGGAATACTTTGAGGAGTATTGGTGTTAATTCTTCTTTGAAAGTCTTGTAGAACTTGGCTGAGAATCTGTCTGGTCCTGGGCTTTTCTTTGTTGAGAGGCTTTTGATGGCATTTTCTATTTCATTACTCGAAATTGACCTGTTTAAATCATGTGTGACCTCCTCATTTAGTCTGGGTAGGTCATATGTCTCTAGAAATTTGCTGATGTCTTCAATATTTTCTATTTTATTGTATAAATCTTCAAATAGTTTCTAATTATCTTCTGTATTTCAGACAGATCCATTATGATACTTCCTTCTTCATCTTGTATTTTAGTAATTTGAGTTTTCTGTCTTTTTCTCTTCATTAACATGATCAGGGGTTTATCTATTTTATTTATTTTTTCAAAGAGACAACTTTTTGTTTTGTCAATTTTTCCAATTCTTTTGATTTCTTTAATTTCAGCTCTGATTTAAATTATTTCCTGTCTTCTGTTTTTGGTGTTGATTTGTTCTTTTTTTTTCCCCCCTAGGGCTTTGAGATATAGTGTTAGGTCATTTATTTGTTGATTTTTTATTCTTTTAATGAAAGCACTCAAAGCAATAAACTTTCCTCTTAGTACTGCCTTCATAGTGTTCCAGAGATTTTGATATGTTGTATCAGTATTCTCATTTACCTCTAAGAATTTTTTAAATTTCATCCTTGACTTCTACTATCCATTCGTCATTCAATAGTGTATTATTTAATCTCCATTTGTTAGAGTAGCTTCTATTTTGTATTTTCTTATTGATTTCTAATTTCATTACATTGTGTGATCTGATAGAATGCGGGGTATTATCTCTGATTTTTTTTGTATCTTATGCTTTGTGGCATAAGATATGGTCTATTTTAGAGAAGGAGCCATATGCTGCTGAGAAGAAAGTATATTCGCTCATCGATGGATGAAGTATTCTATATATGTCTGTTAAGTCTAAAATACTTATTTTATTATTTAGTTCTATATTTATTTAGTTTTTGTTTGGAAGATCTGTCCAGTAGTGAAAAAGGTGTGTTAAAGTCACCCAGTATTATTGTGTTGTGGTCTATTTGATTCTTGAGAAGGATTTGTTTCATGTATACAGATGCTCCATTGTTTGGGGCATAAATATTTACAATTGTTATACCTTGCTGATATACACTTCCCTTAAGAAGTATGAAATGTCCTTTTTGTCTCTTCTAAATAACTTTGGCTTGAAATCTACTTTATCAGAGATGAGGATGGAAAACCCTGCTTGTTTAAGCAATCCATATGAGTAATATTTTTTTTCCCATCCTTTCACCTTCAGCCTGTAGATGTCTTTTCCCGTGAGGTGAGTCTCTTGAAGATAGCATATTATTGGGCCTTGCTTTTTAATCCAGTCTGCCAGTCCTTTTGATTGATGAGTTTAGGCCATTAACATTCAAGGCTATTATTGAAATATAATACCCTGTCATTTTGGTTTATTTCTGGTTTTTAATTTGATGTAGTTTTTCCTTTGGTTGAATATCCCTTTAGTGTAGATCCTCCCTTTGCTGGTTTTCTTTTTATCTTTTATATATCTTCACATATTTTTTCATATATATCTACATATATACACACATACATATGTGTGTGTATATATATATGTGTGTGTATAATCTGTAGTTTTCTTTCCTTGATACATCTTTGTCTGGTTTTATTATCAGGATTATACTAACTTTATAAAGTGTATTTGGGAGCATTCCCTCTCTTTCAGTTTCATGGACTAATTCGAGAAAGACTGGTGTTAAGTTCTGTAAAGTCTGGTAGAATTCAGCTGAGAATCCATCAGTTTCTAGACTTTTCTTTTTGGGAGGCTTTTAATTGCTGTTTAAATTTCTATTCTGTTTAGGTTTTCTGTATCTTCCTGATTCAATCTGGGCAGGTCATATGTGTCTAGAAATCTGTCATTACCTTCCAGGTTTTCAAGTTTATTAGAGTATCAATTTTCAAAATAAGTTCTGATAATCCTCTGATATCAGAAAGTTCTGTGGTGATATCTCCTCTTTTATTTCTGATCTTTTTTGATTTGCTCCTTCTCTTTCTTTTGGTCAGTTTGCCTAAGGGTTTGTCTTTCTTCTTTTTTATCTTTTCAGAGAACCAACTCTTCATTGCATTGATCCTCACTATAGTTTTTCTTATTCTCAATTTCATCGATTTGAGCTCTGATCTTAATTATTTCCCTGTCTTCTACTGGTTGGGATTAGTTTGTTCTTTTTCTAGGACCTTGAGATGGAGCAAAAGCTTATTTATTTAGGACCTCACTCATTTTTTAATGTAGGCACTCAGTGCTATAAATTTTCTTATTCGAACTTCTTTCACACTGTGCTAGTGATTTCAATATGCTATATCTTTGTTCTTATTCATTTCTAAGAATTTCTTAATTTCTATTCTCATTTTCTTCTGTGATACATTCTTCATTGAGAGAGTATTGTTCAATCTCTCTGTATTTATGTTGTTTCTATTTTCTTGCTGTTGATTTCTATTATAATTCCATTAGGACCTGATCGGATACATGAGATTATATCGATTTTCTTTTATTTGCTGAGAATTGCTTTGTGGCCTAGAATATGATCTATTTTGGAAAAAAGTTCCATATTCAGCTGAGAAGATGAATTCAGCTGTTTTGAGGTGGAATATTCTGTAGATATCCCTTAGGTCCATTTGATTTATAGTGTTGTTTTGGTTGGAGATATCTTCATTGATGACCTGTCTATTGGTGATAAGAGTGTATTGAAATCTCCCAGTATTGTTGTGTTGGGATCTATTCGGAATTTAATGTCCTGAAGTACTTTTTTTCATGTAACTTAGTGCATGATTGAGGATGTATGTAGCTCAGCAGAAGAGTGCCACTGGGTTAAGCCCCTAGTTCAGGGAGGACCAAAAGAAAAAAAAAAAAAAAGCTGCTTCATATTTTCAAAAAAAGTTTGGCATAAAATCTGCAACAATTATGCAGTGAAAAACGGTATCTGAGGTCAGGCGCAGTGGTGCATGTCTATAATCCAGCAACTTGGGAGACTGAGGCAGGAGGATCAAAGCCAGCTTCAGCAAAAGGGTGGCCCTAAGCAACTCAATGACATCCTGTCTCTAAATACAAAAAGGTGCTAGGGATACGGGTTAATGATTCAGTGGGTTCAATCCCTGGCACAGAACAACAACAAAAAAACATGGCATCTGGCTATCTCATCCTTCAAACTCAGTTCAGATGTGAAACTCCTGCAGCATGCTATTCCTCACTATTTCCCCTCGTCACTGGATTGGGCGTCTTCTACCCGTTCACACAGTCCACCTCTGCTCTCACTTTTATCATATATACTACATTGTATTGTGATTATTTTCCTGTATCCTTGAAGGCAGTGACTTGATTTTGTTTTTAAAGGATCTTCAAAAAATATTTATATTTTAGTTTTAGGTGAACACAATATCTTCATTTTATTTTTATGTGGTGCTGAGGATCAAACCACATGAGGATTGCCTCACACATGCAAGGCGAGCTCTCTACCACTGAGCCACAACCCCAGCCCGCCACTTGATATTTTTCTCTTGCTTTAGCTGTTGACACCGTGCCTTGTGCTTAGTGAATGGGCACTTAATAAATGCCTGTTAAGTGAAAACAATGTTCTATCTGCCAAAATACCTTGGACTGTGATTCTTTCTTTCTTTTTTTTTTTTGGTACTGGGATGTGAACCCATTCTACCACTGAGCTATATTCCCAGTCCTTTTTGAGTCAGGGTCTTAGTAAATTGCCCAGGCTGGCTTTGAACTTGTGATCCTTCTGCCTTGTCCACCTGACTTGCTGGGATTACAGGCATGTACCATTGTACCTGGTTACTTAGACCATAATTCAAGGACCAGCTTCTGAGAACATGCTCAATTTGATGTACTCCCATTAGGTTTTCTAAAACCAGGGGAAAAAAAGCAAATTTTTAGGAAAAGCTGAAATCCAGCCCTATTACAGATTATAAAAAACAAACTTACTGGGCTGGGATTGTGGATCAGTGGTAGAGCAGTTGTCTGGTATGTGTGAGGCACTGGATTCGATCCTTAGCACTGTGTAAAAATAAAGGTATCATGCCCATCTACAACTAAAAGAATATTTAAAAAAAGAATTCAAGCTTATGATCCAAAGTTTAAAACTACCAAATGCCATGTAGGTAAGAGGAAACTGAAGTATAATCATTACCTTTAAAAAGTCCTACAACAGGGCTGGTTCAGTTGGTAGAGTGCTTGCCTTACATGCACAAGGCCCTGGGTTCAATCCCCAGAACCACAAAAAAATAAAGTCCTACAACAAACTCTTCACAGAGGTGCATATCTGTAATACTGGTGACTGGAAAGGCTGAGGCAGGAGGATCTCAAGTTTGAGACTAGTCTTAGTAATTCAGTGAGACCCTCAGCAAATTATTAAGATCATTTCTCAAAATAAACAAATAAATAAAAATAATAAAGGGCTGGGGATGTAGTACAGTGGCAAAATACCCCTGATTTCACTACCAAAAAAAAAAAAAAAAAAAAAAACCCCTGAAGCTCCTCAATTTTTCAAATGACATAGTTGTTCCTTAACCTCACTTCCTTCAATCACACTTGAGTTTGGTTATCTGTGTTCCTTACATAACTCCAGCTACTGTTGCGTCTTACTGCCTGAACTTCAATGTAAAATCTACCAATTCCTGGTCGGGGATATAGCTAGGCATATAGATAGACACACTCCCACACAAAAATCTCTCAATTCCCTAGCCCCCACCGAATGCATGAAGGATTAAACACAATCAGGCATCAATATTTATTAACACAAGACAAAGGAAAACACATTTGATGAGTTAATAGAACACTGTCCAGCCAGATGTTAAATTTTAAAAATGTATATCTAGTCTAATTTCAAATAAATAAAAAAAAATTTATACATAATTACACAGTACTATAGTTTGAATTTGACACAGGTAAATATATTGACAGAAGGTAAACAGAACAGCATTTAGGACTAAAAAATTATTCTTATATTTTTACAATCTCTTTCTCTGGACAAATAACATGGCCCATCTATATATATACCTAAACCAGAAAGGTATGAATGGTAAAGAAAAGGCCTATTGTGTATTTGGAGTACTGCAGCTTCTTGCTCCAAACACTCCTGATTTTACATCAAAGCAGACAACAAAAATAACACTAAGGCATAGATCATGTTGGAGTTTTGAGGGTGAGGTGATAACTCCTCTTGCTTTAGTCTGAAGGATTCCTGGATATTCAAGAAAAGTAATTTATTTGGCCAAGATATTGAGCACCGTGCCTGGGGAGAGACCTTAACACAAATGTAAGGCCTCAGGCCCTTTGTTGATTCAAGGAAAGCATTAAGCCAACACTGTCCCAGGGACTAAAGGAGACACACCAGACCAACTGAGGCAATGGTCCCTAAACAGCCCCAGGCAACACAACTGCAGGAGAAAAGAGAGCTGTGTACTGGGAAGAACTGGGCCCTTGTGCAGCAAGAATTAAAGACTATATGGGTTCACTGATGTCAATTAGCGAGATGGGCATTCCAGGGTCTCACTGATGCACAAGATAGCTTGTATCACTAGTTCTAAGAACTTTTCAGTTGCTTCTGCTGAGAACCAGGAAGAGGTTCTGAAACTTTAAAACCAGAAGATTTCTCTTAAGATGAGGGTATACTGCTAAGTGTTGCCTCCACCCCCACAGCATAAAAACCCAGACAGAAAGTGTTTCTGAGGACTGGAAAGGCTGTGGGAAGGTTGGGGGTTGTTGTTTATTTTATCAGTAATGGCCTTTTAGGCCTGCTTTAAGAGTCAGTTCTACCACAAAAGTTCCACTTACTGTGGAAAGAAAAAGAGCACTGTGTTATCAAGAAAAAAAAAAAATTAAACTCAAGTCTGCAATAAACCTTAAGATAGACCTTAAATCTGCAGATGACTCCACAAACACCATGGAGGCTAAGATTGGACTCTTTTTTCATCCTAGGAACACTTTCCCAGAGTTAGTCATGAGGTTCCCCAAGGACAGCTCTCAGTTTTCTTTCTTCCACTAGCACAGTCCACTCTGGGGGATATGCAAGAAATTAGTAAAGCAGCTACACATCAGCAAGGAAAAGAAATAAAGACAAATGGAGGCTTGAGGACTGATAAAACTAGATTATCAGCCTGAAATGAATGGGAGTTGGCCATACTCTGAGATGAATGGAATACTGAACTTGCAGGAATGAATATAGGTCTATGCTGCCCAATACAGTAGCCACTAGCCTAACGTTCGGCTACTGAAGCACTGAAATATGACTAGTCCAAATCAAGATGTGTTTAATACACACTGGATTTTAAATACTTAGTATGAAAAAAGTAAAACATCTAATAATTTTTATACTGTTTCACATTCAAAAAGTATTTTTGATATGTTGGGTTAAATATGTTAAAATCAATATCACCTATTTATTTTTTAAAATATGGTTACTAGAAAATCATAAATTACAGATGTGGCTCACAATACATTTATAGTTGACAGTGTGGCTAGATGCTGATACCCTATTCGTGTTTCTAAGAATAATCAACCAACCCGTAGGAAAGAGACTGCTTATAGCTTCTTACAATTGAGAGATTATGGAGAATAGAACTAATTAATACTCAGCCTCCCCTGCTTTTGTTAGTCATTAAAAATTGTTTTAAAGAATGTTACATTTCAAATAAGCAGGTAATTTTCTCTGCAAACCAAACCATTGCTAGACGCTGGGATTTTGCATTTGCCCCAGTGGAAATGCTTCTTTTCTGTACATGCTAGAACCTCCCCCATGTAAATTAATTCCCTCTGAAACACTGAAAAAGAGATCTGAACTGGAAAGTATCTCGAGGTCTTCCCTCTATGGAGAATGAGCTGGGAGAAAAATAACTATGTAAACGGGAGTCAGTCATAAAATGGCTTTGAGTCATGAGACGTAAAGGCGGCCTGGGAGTGCTGCCCTAGTGAAGGGTCTGGTCTTTGCTTTATAAACCTTATTTTCAGGGTAATTACAAGTCTTACAAATTGTTTAAAAACACATTTAGTTTACATGATGTTACAGTGGGGTAAATAATATGTATTATTAAAATAGTCTAAATAAATATTTACATAATAGACCAGAATGGTTCAAAGAGAACCGTTCTGATTTAACAAGTTAATTCTTTTCACTTTTGAGGTTAATTTTAAAAAATATTTCTGTAAGAAAAAAATAATAAAATTTAACTATATTCAAATACATGAAGTATCAGACCAAAGTAAGGAAACTGAGCTAGAGGCCAAACTCAGTTTCACACTCAGTCTGCTTGGCCTGGACAACAGTTATTTCATAAGAGTTTCTTGCATACATCAGACTTCCCCTATTTCAACATAAGCCTGGCTATTCTGGCAAAGCAATCTGGTCAGTTTTGAGATGTGCAGTAATGTGGCCTCACAGTTCCATGTGATCACTGATCCTACTGCCCTCCCAGTCTATTATTCTTGGTTTTAAATGCTTTTCCCTTATGAACTGAAAGGACAGAGAGCACTCCTCAATTTTCAGAAAGCAAAAGCTCTATGTATGAACTGTAGGCAGATTAAAGGGCCTGGAAAAAGAGGATATTCTAAATTCTGTAGTCACTCAATGTGAAAGATAGTTCCAACACCAGGGCCAGAATCAATTATTGTGGTTCCTTTGAATAGGTAGGATCTGATATATTTTTGCTTTTTCTTAAATTTCGATTTAAATGGAGATTTTCAGCTCATACAGACTGAATCCTTAGAAGCTTAAGCTGACATTGGGAATGCAAGCTTTAAAAACAAACATAGGTAGATTTAGTTTATAAAATATACCAGCCAACAAAGACAGAACAATGTGCAGCAAAACTTGCAATTTGCACTTTTTAGTCACCTAATCAATATCACTACATCAAGAGAATATTGGAATTCTCTCAAAGTAGAAATGTTTCTACTTTGGTCGCTGTAATTATATGTGTCAATTTTTCAATTGTTCAGCTAAATTATATGTATTCTTATTTACATGTTTAAAACACTGATCAAAATGTTTTACAGTGAAGAATTACATATATATGTATATATATATATATAAGTAATTCTCATATTCTGTGGGTTAACTGATTTGCTTATGAGCTGACTGAAAATAAGCTGAGTAATTTTATGTTAACAAAACCCACAAAATATCTAGCTAAGGGAAAATAGCAAAATACAGTACAGAGCGGGTAGCTGTATAATTCAGACTACCCCTTCATGTGAATTCATTAAACTCCCTTAAAAAAAATTCTAAAATGGCATTAGGTAAAAATACGAAAATATGTACAACAGATGAAAAAAATGCAACATGCAAATAATTGCTTTAGTTACGTGTTGCTCACACTGGTCAAAGCTAAGGTCTAATAGACTGTTAACATTTTTTTCATTTGCCACCACAGAATCCCCTTTCCTGTGTATTGTATGATTGCAGAATTCCACAGGATGAGATGAAGGATATAATGCAGGCATCTCAGCTTATTTCACATCATTTGGAAACCAGCTCCTAGCCATGGGTCTTCAGTCTGATTCTTGGGATGGCCTTGACAGCCCCTACAAGGATAGCTACATGTTGTAAGCCACATAGATGGGGTCTAACTGGTCAGCCAGGAAGCTGTCACGGAGGTGCATCCTCTGCTTCTCTCCTCTGGAGTTGATTGGGATGACACCTGGGTCCACCACAACAACAACACCAACGATGAGGTAATGCTCTTCTAGGACCACATTGGTCACTAAAGGAACCAGATCTAGAGCTTCCTGTTCAGAGCCGCACAGTTCCACAACCACCACAAGCAAGTTGGTCCACGTGAACACAGCACTGAAATTTCAATAACATTCAGTTAATGTGCCATTACATTTCCAACCATCTTTTACAGTACCTGCCAAGACTGATGCCCATTTCTCTGAGAACTGCTTTCTCTCCTGGATCCCAACCAGAAGGCCAAAAGTCATGTTGTAATACATGACCTTGACCCAGTGACCACAGCTAATAAACGAGCCGTCCAAAATCTCCTGGGGTATTGGAGAGGACTACAGTTTGTAGCTGGTCACTGGAACTGAGGACACGTGTGTTTGAACATTCTAGGATGGCCAGAGGTACAAAGAATCACGAAGAAAATTAAGTCAATGTATGTATGGCTTTTTCTTTCACTTAAACTTTTTTGAGGAGAGTTTCTGTTATTTGCAACAAAAGAGCTCTAAGATAAAAATAAATTTAAATTTTATCTGTTTATTTTTTGTGATACTAGGTATTGAACCCATAGCCTCCTACATGCTAAGAAGGTGCTCTGTGGATAAGCTCTACATCCCCAGCCCTTTAAATTTTATTTTGAGGCAGGGTCTAAGTTGCCCAAGATAGCCTTGAACTTGTAATGCTCTTGCCTCAACCTCCCAAGTAGATGGGATTACAGCATATGCTCCTGCGTCCAGCTCTAAGATGATATTCTTTTTTTTTTAATATTTATTTTTTAGATTTAGGTGGACACGATATCCTTATTTTATTTTTATGTGGTGCTGAGGATCAAACCCAGTGCCTCACGCATGCCAGATGAGCGCGCTACCACTTGAGCCACTTCCCTAGCCCCATCTAAGATAATATTCTTAAACTGAACATGAAGAGAGCCTGTCTGACCTCACATGAGCTAATAAGTGTCCCACACAAGTGTTCCCTATGTGTAAAAGTGCTGTAAGATACAGTGGAGACAGTAACTCCTTTAGTTCTAAATACTATGTTAGAACATATGATCTGACTTGTTTATATAGAGTTAAACTTTAAAAAGAGGTTCAGATCATTAAGGAAAACTAAAAAACAATTATCTGGTTGCAATAAAAGCCAACCATCTAACATCTGAATGTAGCCATGGCATACAGTTTCTCTGCATGCTTTCCACATACTTTTTTGTTGAAAGACATTCTTGCCTTGGTCAGAGTGTCATTCAGGTCTTATTCTGGGGAGAGATTCTGACCAAGACATCTTTAGAAAAAGTAGTACATGGAAAGCATGAACCACTATCAGAAAAACTGGCTATTTAGCAGGGGAAAAAACTGGTGAAGGATGCAGACTTTTAAATGAGTAGAAAAGACAGTGGATGTGTTCTATATAGTGAAGAGCCCAGGTAAAAACCACAGGGTTTTCATTTTAAGTCATTATGAGGTAGGATGATCTTTATCAGGGAAAACAGGGGTAATTCCTGCTGTGAGAGGGGAATTAGATGAGAAAATAACACTGATTCTTTTAATTTGCTCCCCACTAACAATTTAAGAACAAAAGCTTATTTGACCCTGCTGGCAATTGGAAGTGGAAGAGAGTATTTTACTGATGAAGAAAGCAGTGTGGAGAGTGGAGTCTGCAGGCCTGTAATCCCAGCTACTCAGGAAGCTGAGACAGTATGATTTCAAGTTCAAGGCCAGCCTCAGCAACTCAGTGAGACCCTGTCTCAAAAAACAAAAAAGACTGGGGATGTAGCTCAGTAGTAAAGTGACCCTGGATTTAATTTCCAGTAACCCCCAACCCAACACAAAAAGTCTTTTGACCTTAAAGTCATGATTCTTCCTACCATACTACACCAACTTCCTAGAGGCAGATGATCTGCTAGTCCCTTCTAATTAAAAGCTTATTCTTTCAAAAGGATTCAATTTGAGCTGGGAATATAGCTCAGTTGGCAGAGTGCTTACCTTGAAAGCATAAGGACCTGGGTTTAATCCCCAGCACCACAAAAATAAATAAATAAATAAGGATTTTAAAAAAGACTCAGTTCCACAGTGTTCCATAGAATAAACTTCAGTGTTCCCTGGTATCTCTGTAGCCTTCTCTGGCTCCTGTGAATAGGCTTTGCCATAGCAGACCATTCATCCAAGACAAAAGTCATTATTTTTCTTAACTTGCCATGGAGTTCTATCTGTAGGTAGGTGTTTGGAATGAATGGCTGACTAACCTGATTAGTTTTTAATCACTACTAAAGCTGAGGTAGAGAACAGTGTGGGCAAAATTACCATTCAGCAATGCTCCTGTGGACTCGAGACACTGAGGTCTCAATATCAATTGGGTGGTATCGTAATCCTCGCAGCTCCAGTGTTTCATCCAAAGCTCCCACCACATATAATGCATCATGACGCTCTGACAAAAAGAATATACATATGGTTCAGACAAATGCTGAATGCAACATAATGTTGGAGTTAAAAGCACAGGGTTCATATGTGCTCTTTTGAAAAATGATGGACCTTGCTTGGTGTAGAACAATTGCAAAGAGCTAAGGTAAGGTCCAATTTAGACCTTTAAAGTGTAGCAAGTTATCTGTGTCAGTTCTTCAGTGTGTGGTGCAGTTAGTGTTGGGTACTTTCAAGTGGCTTTTAATGCCAGCCAGGAAGAAAGGTTAAAACTGGACAGCAGAGAACACATGTTGATCAACAGGGCAGGGGGTGGAGGAAATGCTACATGAGAGCCTTCAAACCACAGGCTTATATCCAACATGATAAGCAAACTGATTCCCCAGAATTACCACCCTCACCCCATTCCCAGGATTAGGGCTGTTCTTTCAAGTCCCCAAACTGTGTACAGGGTCGAGAGACAGGTAACACTTGTCCCAGGAGCTTGTTAAGGGTTTGGAATCAGCCCTATAGGGCTGAGAAGTCTCATTTTGCCTTGGGTATTTACTCATGTTCAGGTCCATCTCTACAGCTGTCCAGTACTACTAATACTCGGTTCCAGGAAGCTCATGCAATTCCCCTAAGTGCTCCCCTCCCAGACACTTCAGAGAGCAGTGTTACCTCAAATGAATAAATTCATATAAATTCACTTATGGGTTCAAGAGGCATTGACGGGGACAATTAAATACACTTCATACTACTCAGACAGGTGGAAGGAAGCCAGCCAATGAAACAACTCAAATGGGGAGAAGTGAGTGGTGGAAGATACCTCCAGTGGCTGCTGTGAGCTCAGTTCTGCGGACAAACCCAAGGTATCCTGTCCGAGCCCAGAGTGTCTGAGCAGCATCCCCAAAGCTGAGGCGAGTGTTGAAATGATCAGCTTGAAGAGTCTCACTATCATAGATGGTGTAGTAGCCACTGGCTGTATGGGGACTATTCACCCAGATCTACAAGAAAAGGGCAGTGGTCACATTTCAACAGGAATAGACAACTATATCAATTTAATTTTTCTAGGACAGATTTTTATGATTTTGTAAAATCTCATTTTCACATTAATAACACAATTGCAGCAATAAGGGCAGTTGGCAAACAATATATGCCTGATTTCTGATGATCCTAACATATAGGATGTGACAATATAGGTCACACTATTATTATCCCCATGTTACAGATGAAAAAACAAGGAGTTGAGTAATTTACCTAAGAGGAAAAACTAGAGTTGGCTGGCACTGGGGGCTGCACTGCCTCTCTGGCTCACTTCTCACATGCTTCCAGAGTACCACAACTGTACCAAGCAGCCATCGCTGTGCTTCTGGTATAACTATGGTACAAAGCCCTCAGGGAGATACCACAGGACATTGTGAATAGCAAAAGCTGACAACCATGATAGTAACAGCTGCTATTATTTATTGAGAATTATGAGATAGACACTTTTTGCATTAACTATCATGATTCTCCTTTGTTGTTGAGGTAAGTTGTTTATAAATGCGGGAGAGACCCAGAGAGAACTAACTCGCTCAGTGTTGAGAAGCATAACTGGTGAAGCCCAGCTCACCTGGCTTCTGCAGTTACAAGACTCTTTCCACTAAACTATAAGATCAAACAGTGTCCCTCAAAGATTTGGGGGGAAGAAAAGTTTTTGAATATTTGTATACAAACACTAAAATGGATATATTTTAGAATACAACAACACTTGCATACATTTTGAAAACTTTATATATGTGGCTCCTTTCATTTCCAGCCTTTAATAGGTGGGAACAAATAGGATTTGCAATTTCCTTTCTAGCTAATAGAATGACAGTGGACAGATCTGGGATTACATCTAGTTTGGGAACCTAAATTTTCCCTCCCCCTCCCCCCCCTCCTCCTCCTCTTCTTCTTCTTTTTCTTTCTTTTTTTCTCTCTCTCTCCCCTCCCTCCCTCTCTCTCTCCCTCCCTCCCTCCCCACTGGAAATTGAACCCAGGGCTTTGCACATAACTGACAAAGTATTGTACACACTGAGCTACATCCCTAGCCCTAAATCTTCACTAGATCTCATCTCAATCTCCCCTCCCTGTTTACTTCAGACTCCTGCCTTATAGAAAATGAACTATTCACAATGAAGGAAGTTAAGTTCACAGTTTTACTAGCTTTTAGAAACGTGAACTCTAAAGTCTTTTGCTACTGACTTTCCAGAGTAAAAATAAAAGGAATACCCACCTCACCCAGGTGAGAGTCTCCAACAGGCCCTTTGGTCTCAGGATTAACAATAACCACTTTCACTCCAGGTAAAATCTAAGAATCAAAGGGAAAATACAAACATTGGGTTTGAGTAAATCTAATGACCCCTAGGAAATGTGCCATGACCTGCTGGTGATGTGGGAGTGGCAAAAATAGGAGAAGCTGATGGAAGTAACCATCACTGAAGTACCTGACCTGAGGGGTTAACTGGGGACATCCTGTGTTTTGCTCCAACTGAATCTTCCTCAGCTCAGGGGAGACCAGAAGTCTAATAAGATTCACCCTCAAAAATAAAACAGAGAGGGGCTGGGGTTGTGGCTCATAGTTAGAGTGTTCACCTAGCGTGGGTAAGGCTTTGGGTTTGATCCTCAGCACCACATAAAAATAAATAAATAAAAATAAAGGCATTGTGTCCACCTATAACTAAAAAAATAGTAAAAAAACTTATATAAAAAATAAATTAAGACAGGGAACCAGTCTACTATCTCTTTAGAGGAATGAGAAACTGCTGACCAGGACCACCAACAAGATTCTGTAGAATAACTTAAGCACATAACCTCCCTTTTTCATGATCTGTCTAGTTCACAGGAAGGACAGTATAAACCCCGTAAAACAGAAACTCTAAGAGCAGGGAGGGATAGTCTGAGAGATTCCACTGCAGCCATCAGCTAGGGCTACAGTGAGGGGAACTGCATGAGTAAGAGAGGACAGCATGAGGGCAGTTTTACAGAGGAACAAAAAGACATCCATGTTCCTGGAATTATGAAAGACATCCTTACGTGCCGGGGATCTTCCGCAGGACAAAAAGGAAGAAATAGGTGCTGGCTAAAAGAATGGCCCAAAGCTTACCAAAAGAAAGACCTCTCTGGTCACCTGTATCCTGCCCTCTTGAATCTTTTTTCTTTCTTTCTTTTTTTAATATTTGTTTAATTGTCAATGGACCTTTATTTTACTTATTTATATATGGTGCTGAGAATCAAACCCAGTGCCTCACATGCTAGGCAAGCGCTCTACCACTGAGCCACAACCCCATTCTTGAATCTCTTTTTTTATGTTGGCTTTCTATAGTCTGAAGTTACTCCAGAAACCCTACTATGATTATTTGGACTCAAATATCTAAAACCTTGAGGAAGGAAGAGAAGAAAACCACTCCCTTTAACCTGGGCCAGGACCTGCACTCATTCTTGTTCCAGTGGCATGCTTAACTCTGGACTGTGGCAAACACAGATTTGATGAGGCAATACTGACCCCATGCCATTGTGAGGAGTTCACAAGGGCAAAGAGAAATCAGAGTCAGCTCCCATGGGACTGACACATCATACATCATACAGAGCAAGCCCCTAGTGAAAAAACTGTCTTCCACATATAAATTCTCACTTTAACCAAGAAACCTTAACCTATGGGGTGCACTCTCCAGTATGTTTAATCTCTTCTCCACTCTGACTTTTCTTTCAACTTTAATATTTATAAAGACAGACCTGGCTGTTTTTAAGCTTTGTTCTTCTATCCACCTTGTATATAATAAACATTCCATTTTGCTGGTTTGCCAATAAAAATAACTTTCCACTGGATTTTTAAAAAATTTATGTAAAGTCAGAAGGTCCAGCATCCTTGTTTATGTACCCATGTGAGTTTCAAAGTATTAGCTAAGATGAAACTGTCGAATTATTTGCAGATTTCAAATAAGTCTTGCCTTTGATACAAGTATTTCACTTGGCTTCAAGTCTCTTTAGAGTGACCCACCTTGCCACAAGGCCCACCATCTCAACAATTTAGCAGGAGAAAGTACCTTTCCAGACTCTGAGAGCAGCAGACTCTGGGGAGCACCCCGTTCCACAAGACGAACCCTGCAGAGGAACAGTGGTTAATGTATTCAAGCATCTCTAAAAAATGATTTTACCGTATCTACTACCTTCCCATGACCCCTAATTGGTCTCTCCTCCTTCAAGGGCAGGGTTTCTCTAACTCAGCACTACTGACATTCTGGTTCACATAATTTTTGTTGCAGGGTGTTTAGCAACAATCCCTAGCCTCTACCCACTAGATGTCAGTAGCAACCCTTTTCTTGACAACCCAAAACATCTCCAGACATTGTCAAATGTCCTTGGGGTGAGGGGCAAATCTCCTAGGGTAAGAATACTGCCTAAGAGAGGCCTGCCACCTGTGCAGGTTGGGTCCTTGCCTGAGACACACCAGGAAACGTGCACCAGTGGGGCCTGGGAAAAGGTCTAGGAGTCCTGTCCAGTGGTCACCTTGAGACAGAACTAAAATTTCCTTATACAGTGAGGAGGAGATGACAGGTTTTCACCCATGGGGTTCAGGTAAAGTCTTGTTTCAAAAACCCAACTCTGCCTCATTTATCATGCCTATCCTATCTTTTCTATTTTTAGACTTTCAGAGGAAAGAGACTATACATTTTACTTTAATTTATATCAGTCACAAAGTATTTTTACACAGGCAAAAAGCATTACATTTTAATATTAAAGAATAGTGCAACCACTGTGAGAATTAAAGCTTTCTTTTTATAAATGAAAATCTTATTGTGAATAAATGATAAAAATGAATTTCTTCCCATGCTGCTACTGGGAGATACAAATATAAAAGGAAAGAAGGGAAATGCTGGCTTTGAGGATCAGAATTCTTTGTGTTCTTTCCCTATTAGATTTCCTAAGCATAATCAATCCTACGTACCTGTCATGTCTTAATGATTTCAGATCTACATATACAGTAGTTGGATCAGGCCCTGAGGTTCCCTAAAGAAAAACAAATCAATGCAGTTAATTTTAAAATTTAAATGAGCCATCTTTTCCTTACTTCACATTTCCAAATCAAGAAATAGGTAATCAAAAAAAGAAAGAAAAGAAATAGATAATTTAGCCATATGCACAAAACACCCCCTCTATTTTATTATTTACATATATGTGTAAAATTAAAAAGCAAAATTTTACATATAGAAAATAAAAAGCAAATTATGTGGATGCATATATATGTTTTATATATCTATAATTTTTTTTTTAATTTTATTTTTTGACATGCTGGGAATTGAACCCAGAATCTTGTACATGTTAGGTAAGCACTCTTTATTTATTTTTTGCAATACTGGGTATTGAACCCAGGGTTGCTCAATCACATGAAATCCTTAGCTTCTCTCTTTATTCCATTTCTTTATTGGTGCATTATAATAATGGGATTCATTGTTGTATATTTGTACATGCACATGATATAACCATATAATTTGGTCAATATCATTTATTCCCTAGTATTTCCCTTTTTCCTCATCCTCCTCCCTCCCTCCTCAGCTCTCCCATATTTTTTAAAATTTTCTCATTAGCTGCGGAAGCTGGCCTTGAACTTATGATCCTCCTACCTCAGCCTTCCAAGTCACTGGGATTTACAGGTCTGCACTACCACTCCTGGTCGTCCACTCTATTTTAAAAGCTACTTTCTCTTCAACCAAGTGAGGCAGGATAGAAAAGACTACTTCCTGAAGTTTTTTTTCCCCTTTCCTTCCCTAGGAGGCCTCCTGCCCTCCCTTCACCACAGATTATAGCAGAATTGAAACATTATCAAGCTGAAGAGGATTTCCACCCCTGGGCTCCAAGCAGGAATGAGAGAAGCCACCATCCCATGGATTTTCAAAATCAATACTGCCACAGCTGATAGTAAGGGTCCTCGGTGGGGCTGCAAGGTGAAAGCACCATGATGTTTCCTGAAAGTCACATGACTACAGTCAGAGAAAACCCAAAAGTATCCATCTGCATATCCCTTTTACTCTCACTCTTGTCCACACCTATATCTGCCTTTTTAGCCTCCAAATTGCATAAAATCAGTTTTGGTCCCTTTTCTATGATTCACCCCCAAGTTGCCATCTGACTGAAAAGGAGAATACTGGCTTATTTGTGTTTTGTTTTCAATGGGGGAAAAGTGCAAAATATGGAGAAGACAGATAAATAAAATCCAAATAGGACTCAGAAAGTTTCTTGATTCATCATCACAGACCACATCACTACTACCAAGAGTAAGCATTTACACTGGTGCCTGTCTGCCAGGCCCACTCTAAATGTTCTGACCTACTAACCCTTTGATTCTGCAAAAAACCTTGTGAAGTATGAGATTGTTGTTTTATTTTACAAAGAGAAAAATGAAACAAAGAGAGGACAAAATAAAAAGCCCAAAGTCCAACAGCAAGTGAGCTGAACTAGAGCTCAAGCTTAGTAGTCTGCCCTATGCTTGGGGCACCTCACATTCCTTCTTTGTTTGCTAGCATACTAGATTTTTTTTTTTTTTTAATTTTAGCTTTTAGTTGGACACAATATCTTTATTTTATTTATTTATTTTTATGCTGAGGATCAAACCCAGGGCCTCGTACGTGCTAGGCGAGCGCTCTGCCGCTGAGCCACAACCTCAGCCCCTAGCATACTAGATTTTGACCTCACCTGTAAACATATTGCTACGTTGACTCTTGATCCAAAAGTGGTACTGACGGCTCGAGGGGACAGACCAATGTCTTTAAAGAGCTTGGAGAAGGACTGCTGGAGGGCAATGCGGGGCCGCTCCTCTGCCACCACCACACAGGTCCGGATGCAGGAGAGGTTAATCCCCCTTGTCTATAAGATACCCATGCCATAAGCTGAGTTAGTAGGATCAGAAGAGAACTGAATAGGTAGAATCACTGCTCTCTCTTTGGTCAGGAAAATCTGAGGAAATATTTTCTTGGCCCATACACACAGAAAAAAACAGCTTTTAGAAAAGAAGAAAATACAAACATTCCATTAAAATAATTACCCACATATAAATCTGCTCGTTCTCTATTTCTTTCCTCTTTTATCTAAAAATCTTAGACTTTTCAATAATACATTCTATCTTTTCTCATTTCTGAACCTTAGATTTCTTCCTATTTTCTGGGACTAAGAGAAAAATAAATCTAGAACTTTGGATATCTAACCTTTTGTCTCTTTTTCATTCTTGAAGTCATACTTCTCAAAGAAAATTCAGTATTTTCCAACTTTCTCGTATGACAGAAATATTATCACTGTATACACACATAAATGAGCTACCTTTAGCTACGGGACAGTCTCCAATCTCTCATATTTTGAGGTTTTAAATTCTATTGGGAAAATTCTATGGGAGGTTATAGTTCCCTTTTATCTTTCAATCAGTTTTGCCTTCTCCACAAAGACCCAGGTTAGACTCTGAAAGTATACACTAAATTAGGAAGTAAGAAGGGTTAAACTTCTTAAAGTTTACAAAATATCCATTAATTGTCTGGCTAGAAACAGGCAAATATGTCTGCTAACTCTTACTCTGGTATTAGCATGCCCTGGCCCCTTATTTTAAAATCTCTTAGAACTGGTTACTTGTGGTAGTTGCTTCTTACCTTTAGCACCTCCACTTGGTTTCCCAATCCTTTAGTGCAAAGCTCCATTACTGAGTAGGAGCAGAAAGTGTCCCTTATTTTGTACTGGTTGACAGTGGTGAGCCAGAGGAAAAGGTTATTTTCTAACTCCATAGGAGGAATTAAGATGGACTGGTGACCTGAATAGACACTGTAATGAAGAAAGGCAAAAGCTGATATTATCAATTCATCCTAAGATGTTTCAAAATGTCATAAACTTGGCAAATATTTACTGAGTGGGAAGGATAGTAGAGGGGTCGCATTAGATTGAAGATCTAAGAATCAACCTTATTCCCTTGCAATTCACAAGATACAGTAATCATAAAATAAAGCAGACTGTAGTAGGTGTGGTAACAGATGTGAATAAAGGGCACAGAGTTCACAAAATAAAGAGCAATTCATTCAAGCTAAGAAAGCTGGGGCAAAGGTGGTAGGGTTCACTGAGTAGGTAGCACTAGAGCTGGGGCTTAAAGGAGTAGGAATTTGAGTGGCTGGGAGTGAGAACAGGGGCAATATATTTCATGCAGAAGAAAAGCATATGCATTAGATTGGCAGCCATTATGAAGTCAAACAACAACAAGTGCTGGCGAGGATGTGGGGAAAAGGGTACACTTGTACATTGCTGGTGGGACTGCAAATTGGTGCAGCCAATTTGGAAAGCAGTATGGAGATTTCTTGGAAAGCTGGGAATGGAGCCACCATTTGACCCAGCTATTCCCCTTCTCGGTCTATTCCCTAAAGACCTAAAAAGAGCATGCTACAGGGACACTGCTACATCGATGTTCATAGCAGCACAATTCACAATAGCTAGACTGTGGAACCAACCTAGATGCCCTTCAATGGATGAATGGATAAAAAAAATGTGGCATTTATACACAATGGAGTATTACTCTGCATTAAAAAATGACAAAATCATAGAATTTACAGGGAAATGGATGGCATTAGAGCAGATTATGCTAAGTGAAGCTAGCCAATCCCTAAAAAACAAATGCCAAATGTCTTCTTTGATATAAGGAGAGTAACTAAAAACAGAGTAGGATCGAAGAGCATGAGAAGAAGATTAACATTAAACAGGGATGAGAGGTGGGAGGGAAAGGGAGAGAGAAGGGAAAATGCATGGAAATGGAAGGAGACCCTCAGAGTTATACAAAAGTACATACAAGAGGAAGTGAGGGGAAGGGGAAAAATAATATAAGGGGGACAAACGAATGTCAGTAGAGGGAGCAGAGAGAGAAGAGGGGAGGAGAAGGGAGGGGAGGGGAGGGGAGGGGGGATAGTAGAGGATAGGAAAGGCAGCAGAATACAACAGACACTAGTATGGCAATATGTAAATCAATGGATGTGTAACTGATGTGATTCTGCAATCTGTATATGGGGTAAAAATGGGAGCTCATAACCCACTTGAATCAAATTGTGAAATATGATATATCAAGAACTATGTAATGTTTTGAACAGCCAACAATAAAAAATTAAAAAAAAAAAAAAAAAGAGGGATAAAAAAAAAAAAAAAAAAAAAAGCATATGCAAAGGCAAAGAAATATGGAGTATGTAAAGCTGTCAGAAATAGCATTCTAGTCAGGCACAGTGGTGCACGCCTATAATCCCCATTTGACTCAGGAGGCTGGAGGCAGGAGAATTCCAAGTTCAAAGCTAGACTTGGCAACTTAGCAAAGCCCTAAGTAACTTAGTGAGACCTTGTCTCAAAATAAAAAATTAATTTTTATTAATAGGAATGTGGCTCAGTGGTTAAGTGCCCCTGGGTTCAATCCCCATACCACAAACAAAAGAAAAAAAAGAAATAGCATTCTAGTGAAATCCTAGGGCACAGGGTACAAGGAGAAAGTGAGGCCAAAAGAGCAGGGGCCAAACTATAAAAGAGCTTAACTGTCTTATGAAGAAAGTCAGTCTTTACTCTTAAAAGTGTGGCTTTAAGTTGGGGCAAAACCAGCAACTCGGGAGTAGGGATGGGAGACTTGAACCATTGAAAATTGAGAGACAGAAGTGGTTACAGCAATAGTGAAGGTAAAGGATAATGTGGGCCTGAACCCTGACATTGAAGTCAGAATAAAAAGAAAGGAATGGCAGAGTCACATATCATATATATAATCTAGATCAGAATCACCAGGAGCTCAGGAATCCTGCATTTTTGTGATTGCTACCTCTGGAGACTGAAGTTATTAGGTCTGGGTAATCCTTATTAATTATTTTTTCCACAACAGATGGGTAATATGCCAATGTCATAACTAGATTTGAGGGAGGCATATCTGACAATGGTGTGAAAACCCAGTCATACAATATGAGCCACAAAAGGAGCTGTTTTTAATTCTGAAAGACCCAGAAATAATAATAAAAAAAAAAATAATAATAGTTATTCTTATTATTTTTGTGTGTGTTGGGGTGTACTGGGGATTGAATCTAGTGTGATCCACTGAGCCATTCTCAGCCTTTTAATATTTTTTATTTTGAGACAGGGTTTCACTAAGTTGCTGAGGAAAGCTTCAAATCTGTGATTCTCCTGCCTCAGCTTCCTGAGATTACAAGTATGTGCCAGTGCTACACACAAAGGCACAGGAATAACTGAGCCAAAGGAAAGAATATTTCATTAGATGTGAGACATAAAGATATAGAAGTTGAAAATAATGCTCAAGTTCCTATTTCGGGTACCTTAGTAGACAAACCTACCCTAACAAAGATGGGCATGTAGAAGGAGGATGTTACAGGCATTTTTGAAGCATTCATAATGTCAACCCAGAAGGTGAAGATGCAGTTCTGAGATAAGGTTTTCTGGGCAGATGGTGGAAGATGGGACCTGCTATTTCTCAAAAAGCAATCTGCCTAGGGCAAACATGCCACTTCCCAGCCACATGCTGTCATCCTATCCCATCATATTCCTTTCTGCCAAGCTTAGGGGGTATATTCTGGCTGTCAAAACATGTCATATTTTATCCAAGAATCATCCTTTTATTTGGCTCTGTTTCTAAAACAAGAATTACAGGATGGAGCAGAGAACAGGTAACAAGATCACTGCCATTTTGTATGAGGCAAAAATCTAACAGAAGTTGTTGGACTCAGTGGTGCATGCCTGTAATTCCAGCAACTAGGAAGGCTGAAGCAGGAGGATTACAAGTCAAAGCCAGCCTGGGTAACTTGGAAAGACCCTGTCTCAAAATAAAAAATAAAAAGGACTGGGGATGTAGCTCGGTGGTAGAGCACTTGTCTAGCACGTGTGAGGCCCTGATGTGTCAATTCCCAATACCAAAACAAACTAACAGAACGGAAAAGGGGGAATACAAATAAAACTAAACAACGTCAGATACAGATAAGGTGCATAAATTCTAGAAACATCAGCATTTTACTGAAACATTATAGAATTTAGGAGAGCAAAAGGAAGAAGAAGATTGTTATATTCCAAGTATACCCCACACATACTGTTTCTTTGGCTTTTTCATCCCTACCTGCAGAGACACCAGAGTGCAAAGCCAAGTCCACAGTAAGGGTCAAGGCAGATGGCGATCTGCCGAGAAGAATACAACTCACACTGGAGCTTGATGGCTCTACAAAGAGCATTAACTGCAGAGTGGGACATCTGCAAAGTAAGGAACATGGAACAGGATGGAACTGGCATCCCACAGACAGAGACACAGCTTTGAAAAGTTTAAATTCCCCAAACTCATCAAACGAATATTTTTTATTTCCTTAAAGTTTAACCTAAATCTAAATTAGACATCACATTTCTATTCATTAGCTAATACTGCATTTTATATGTGAACTTACAACTGCTTACTGACTTTAATGAGAAATCTGATTATTTGTTAGGATCTATGCTAGGTTCAGACACTTCAAAATCCAAATTCCTTGAGATAATGTATTCCGGAAGAGCTGATGCTTTTATTTGAATATAGAAGGGACCCTTGATCCTCCGCCTACTGGCCTCTAGTTCAACCAGTTGGCCTCTACATCTAAAGTCTCCGGGACAGTGGTCATCTCTTTTTCTGTGATCTGGCATATCAGCAGACTTTGATGAGTGAGTGAATACACCCAAATAATTTTACCTTCACTCCTGTAAGCATGCCAGTTGTGGAGACACTAAAATCAAGATATGCCAACATCTCAGGTGTAGGTGGTTTATACAGCTGAGGTAACCTTTTCCTGGGTAAATCATCTGCAATGAAAAGAAAAAACATCAATCAGACATGCTGGAACATGAAAACTATTACTCTTCAACTGGTTTTCTGTGGCTTTGCTATGGTTGAATTTAGCTTCTGGAATTTGAAAAGCCTGGGCTTCTCATTTTTAACCAAGCCTCTCTGAGGCAGGTTGGGGTTGAGGACAACATTAGACAATCTAAATACAACAAGTAAATCTACATCAGGTCAATTTATTTAACAGAAGTTTAGTAAGAAGCATACTGCTGTGTTCAAATCCTGGTTCTATTTTTCTCAGCTATGTGGCCTTTGTGTCTGTTTTCCTCTTCTTTAAATGAATCTCTAAAATAATACCTACCTATATAACTGTTGGGAAGTTAATTCACACAAAACACATTAAAGACAACAACTGACTGAGTGCATGCTCAAAAAGCATTAGTTGTTGATATGCTGGTTTCCAATTAAAGTTCATTATTTACAATTTAGTGTATGTTCTATTAATCACGGGAAGCTTTAAAAGTTAGACAGTTTTCCTCCAAGTTTACCTGGAAGACTTTAAGACTGGTAATTTAGAATTGGTAATTTTTTTCTCATTTATGATAATTCTCCCATTTTATGAGTATGTCAACACCAAGGATGTCTGTGACCCAACCATTCAATGTCCATGTCCTAACAGAAAAAATACTGAGTTTTAAATCTCCATGTCATGGGTGCCCATTTCTGGTCAGTCCAAAAACTTTCTCTATCCATCACCTTCGACCTATCATTGTGTAAGGTTGAGTCACTCAAGACCATTCATGTACCTAAAAGAAACCTTACTCTTGTCTGTACCCACAGCCCATATTTTAGGTCTTCCTGCAATGTCACTGAGTCCATTACCACAGCACATCGGTTTGTATCATTAATACCAACACAAATAATATATACCATTTGTGTTATATACGACAGTGCTTCTGCCTTTGAATAACAAATATAAAAATTTAGCTCAGCATCTGGCACACAATAATCACAAATACTATCATCTCTGCATTTAAACCCATATAAATATTGTGGAGGTAGTTACTATAAAGTACTTTATGAAAACAGGGTAGGAGGAAATTAATGGTTAAGAGGTAGGCAATAAGCCAAACTGGCCAGGTCTGCATTTCACTTCTGCAGTTTTTTTTTTTTTTTTTATTGTTGGTTGTTCAAAACATTACATAGTTCTTGATATATCATATTTCACACTTTGATCCAAGTGGGTTATGAACTCCCACTTTTACCCCGTATACTGCAGTTTTCTTAATTTCCCTGTACTTTGGTTGTCTTATCTTTGAAATGAGGGTAAAAATAGCAGCCATCTAGAAGCCAGGCATGGTAATTTACAGGTGTGTACCTATAAACCCAGGTACTCAGGAGGCTGAGGCAGGAGGATCATAAGTTAAAAGTCAGCCTCAGCAACTTAGCAAGACCCTATCTCACAGAAAAAAAAAAAAAAGGCTGGGGATGGAGCTTAGTGGTTAAGTACCCCTGGGCTCACTCCCTGGTACTTAAAACAAACAAACAAACATAGCAGCCAACTAAAAGGATTAGAGTAAGGATAAAATTAGGTAATGTGTTAAGTGAATGACACATCAAAGAGGCTCAGTAACAGATGTTATCATTATGATTCTATGCTAGGTATTTTACATCACTCAATCTTTACAATTCCCATTTTATGGTCAGTTCTATCTAGGTTAGTAAGAATACTCAGAGAGTAGCAAAAACCTGAGAATTTTAAAAGTGGCTGAGTTCAAAACCCATGCTCTTCCCTATTCCACTGATTTTCTATCTATTCCTGGGTCTTACCTCCTTTAATATGAATACCACTTAAAATTCATGCACATTGTGGTTTTCAACCTATTTTCATATTATATCGTATTTGATTTTCTCAATAAATGTGAGTCAGGCAGGGGTAGGCAGTATTTTAGAAAAGAGTAATTTCAAGGTTAGACAGGAAATAATAAAGCTCTAACCAGAAACCAGGTTTTCTGATTCCTTGTAAGATATTGTTTCAACTATATCACACCTGAAAATCATGGATCAGATCATCTCACTATTTTACATGGCCATACATAGAAAAGTAATGGATCACATCCGGCATAAAAACCTAATGAACTTCCAATGATGCCAAGAGTAACTTCTCGGTGCCTGGTTATTACACTGCCGAGTACTTTAGGCTAATTGGATCCTGGGTTTTTGCCTCTATCTTAGCAGATGGAATGTGTGCCATAAAAGCTATGTCAATGTGTTTGGCACAGGATCTAGGAAATCTCAGTAAATGTTCTAGCTCCCATGACAGCTCAGGAGAAATCTCCCTTTTACCTGTGTCAATGATGGCTGGCCAGGTTTTCACATCCACAGCTGCTGCTGCTTCTCGGGACCTTAGTAACCTCATTAGGGTTTGAGTGGTGAGAATACATGCTGCTTTGCTGACCTAGAAAACAAACAGCAATGAGCATCAGGAGGGTTAGCTCTACCTCTGGCTGCTGCTAAAAGCAACTCATACACCATACTAGTCAGGGTAGTATCAGCTTTTCAAAGAATAAAGTCAATATCTTCCTTTTACACTTTGCCCTCTGGAAATATGTAACACTTAATTCTCTCAGAACAGCAGACTTCTTCACAACACAAGCTATTGCTTACAACAGTGATTTTCAAATATTTCATAATTATATTCTCAGTATGGATCCCAGAATCCTGTGATTTTACGAAGACCTGAATAAAGTAAGACATGGATTTTGTATGCTCAGGGAATGAGAGGAGACAGATAAGAATGTCTGGAGTCAGTGTGTGTCAGTCTAGAGAAGGTGGAAAGTGACCAGGCTAGAAAGTATGCTGATGTGAGGACACAAATGCAGACAGACGCTCCCACAGACACTGTCCAGCTATGCACAGAAATGCAAACTGACCTACTTTGCTCAAAAACTGCCTCAATAGAAATAAATTCCCTTCCCTACTTTTCTGACCTACTTTGTAGGATATAACAAGGGCATTCTGTTGAAACAAACTTCAAAATAAAATCATTTGAGGTGAATATGGCTTTTATGCTACAGACTCAAGTTGCTGACAGAGTGGCAGTTCTCAGAGAAACAAATATTAAATAAATTAGGATTCTACAACATTTTAGTACCTTGGCCAAGACTGCCTTCTGCTTTAAAGTACATTAGGATATGATGCAATACAGATTTAACTTCAATTTTCATATGTAAAAATTTCTATCAACTTCAGAACAGGATTTGGATGTCATTTTTTTTCCCCATGTGGTGCTAGGGATCCAGCCCAGGGTGTCATACATGCCATGTGAATGCTCAACCACGGAGCAAAACCTCCAAACCAGGACATCTTTTAATACTATACCAAATGAATTTACAAAACTAACCACACGAAAGTGATCTGCACTTGGGAGGATTTTTTTAACCTTATTTATTTTAATTAGGTATACATGACAGCAGAATGCATTTACCTTTCTATGGTTGTACAAAATGTAGCATCACACCATAATGTGCAGTCATATAGGGTAATGATGTCCATCTCATTCCACTGTCTTTCCTGCTCCCATGCATCCTCCCTTGCCTTCCTCCCCTTTGCCCAAAGTTCCTCCACTTTTCTCATGCCTCCCCCATCCCCATTATGGATCTGCACCTACTTATCAGTTTTTTGGGATTGACTTACTTCGCTTAGTATGATATTCTCCAACTCCATCCACTTACCTGCAAATGCCATAATTTTATTCTTTTTTAATGCTGAGTAATATTCTATTGTGTATATACACCACAGTTTCTTTACCCATTCATCTATTGAAGGGCATCTAGGTTGCTTCCACAGTTTAGCTATTGTGAATTGAGCTGCTATGAACATTGATTGATGTGGCTGCATCACTGTAGTATGCTATTTTTAAGTCCTTTGGGAAATAAATATATATCCTGAGGAATGGGATAGCTGGGTTAAATGGTGGTTCCATTTCAAGTTTTCTAAGGAATCTCCATACTGCTTTCTTTTTTTTTAGAATATATATTTTTTTTAATTTTAATATTTATTTTTTAACTTTCGGCGGACACAACATCTTTGTATGTGGTGCTGAGGATCGAACCCGGGCCGCACACATGTCAGGCGAGCGCGCTACCGCTTAAGCCACATCCCCAGCCCTCCATACTGCTTTCCAGATGGGTTGCACCAATTTGTAGTCCCACCAGCAATGTATGAATGTGCCTCTTCCCCCACATCCTTGCCAACATTTATTGTCCGTATTCTTGTTAGCTACCATTCTGACTGGAGTGAGATGAAATCTCAAGAGTAGTTTTTATTTGTATTTCTCTAATTACTAGAAATGTTGAATATTTTTTCATATATCTGTTGATTGAATGTATCTTCTTCTGAAAAGTGTCTGTTCAGCTCTTTAGCCCATTTACTGATTGGGTTGTTTGGTTTTTTGGTGTTAAGTATTTTGAGTTCTTTATGTATCCTGGAGATTAGTGCTCTGATGTGTGTATGGCAAAAATTTGCTCCTAAAATGAAGGCTCTCTGTTCACCTCATTGATTGTTTCTTTTGCTGAGAAGAAGCTTTTTAGTTTAAGTCTATCCCATTTATTAATTTTTGATTTTATTTCTTGCACTTTAGGATTCTTGTTAAGGAAGTAATGCAATATGATGGAGATTTGGGCTGACTTTTTCTTCTATTAGATGCAGGGTCTCTGGTTTAATTCCTAGGTCCTTGATCCACTTTGTGTTGAGTTTTGTGCATGGTGAGAGGGGTTTCATTTCATTTGTTGCATATGAATTTCCAGTTTTCCCAGCACCACTTGTTGAAGAGGCAATCTTTTCTCCAATGTATGTTTTTGGTGCCTTTGTCTAATAAGATAACTGTAATTATGTGGGTTAGTCTCTCTGTGTCCTGTATTCTGTACCAGTGGTCTACCAGTTTATTTTGATGCCAATACCATGCTGTTTTTGTTACTACTGCTCTGTAGTGTAGTTTAAGGTCTGGTATAGTAATGCCTCCTGCTTCACTCTTCTTGCTAAGGATTGCTTTAGCTATTCTGGGTCTCCTATTTTTCCAGATAAATTTCATGACTGCTTTTTCTGTTTCTATAAGGAATGTCACTGGGATTTTGATTGGAATTGCATTAAATCTGTATAACGCTTTTGGTAGTATGGTCATTTTGACAATATTAATTCTGCCTATCCAAGAACAAGGGGAGATCTTTCCATCTTCTAAGGTCTTTTTTAATTTCTATAGTGTTCTGTAGTTTTCATTGTAGAGGTCTTTTGCCTCTTTTATTAGGTTGATTCCCAAGTTTTTTTTTTTTTGAGGCTATTGTAAATGGAGTAGTTTTCCTCGTTTCTCTTTCAGAGGATTTGTCACTGATTTATGGGTGTTGATTTTGTACCCTGCTACTTTGCTGAATTCATTTACTAGTTCTAGAAGTTTTCTGGTAGAATTTCTTGGGTCTTCTAGGTATAGAATCATATAATCGGCAAATAAAAGGCAGCAGAACACAACAGACACTAGTATGGCAATATGTAAATCAATGGATGTGTAACTGATGTGATTCTGCAATCTGTATACGGGGTAAAAATGGGAGTTCATAACCCACTTGAATCAAAGTGTGAAATATGATATATCAAGAACTATGTAATGTTTTGAGCAACCAACAATAAAAATTAAAAAAATAAAAAATAAAAAATAAATAAAAATATGAAAAAATATATATATAATCGGCAAATAGTACTAATTTGAGTTCTTCTTATCTGTATCCCTTTAACTTCTTTTATCTAATTGCTCTGGCCAGTGTTTCAAGAACTATGTTAAACAGAAATGGTGAAAGATAGCTTCCCTGTCTTGTTCCAGTTTTTAGAAAAAAAATGCATTAATTTTTTCCCCATTTAGAATGATATTGGTCTGGGGCTTAGCACAGATAGATAGCTTTTACAATGTTGAGATATGTGCCTATTATCCCTAGTTTTTCTAGTGTTTTGAACATGAAGGGGTGCTGTATTTTGTCAAATGCTTTTTCTGTGTGTATGGAAATGATCATATGGTTCTTATCTTTAAGTCTATTGATGTGATGAGTTAAATTTATTGATTTCTGTGTGTTGAACCAACCTTGCATCCCTCGGATGAACTCCACTTGAACATGGTGCACTATGTTTTTGTATTTGATACGCCAGAATTTTTTTGAGAATTTTTGCATCTAGGTTCATTAGAGATATTAGTCTAAAGTTTTCTTTCTTTGATGTGTCTGCCTGGTTTTGGAATCAGGGTGATATTGGCCTCATAGAATGAGTTTGGAAGTGCTCTCTCTTTTTCCTATTTCCTGAAATAACTTGAAAAGTATTGGTATTAGTTCTTCTTTAAAGGTCTTGTAGAACTCGGCTATGTCTCCATCTGGTCCTGGGCTTTTCTTGGGTGGTAGGCCTCTAATGACATCTTCTATTTCATCACTTGAAATTGATCTATTTAAATTGTGTATATCATCCTGATTCAATTTGTGCAAATCATATGACTCTAGAAGTCTGTCAATGTGTTCGATATTTTCTATTTTATTGGAGTACAAGTTTTCAAAATAATTTCTAATTATCTTCTGTATTTCTGTAGTATCTGTTGTGATATTTACTTTTTCATCATGTATATTGGTAATCTGAATTTTCTCTTTCCTTCTCTTCGTTAGCATAGCTAAGGATTTGTCAATTTTATTTGTTTTTTCAAAGAACCAACTTTTTGTTTTGTCCATTTTTTCAATTGTTTCTTTTGTTTCAATTTCATTGATTTCAGCTCTGATTTTAATTATTTCCTGTCTTCTACTGCTTTGGGTGTTGATTTGTTCTTTCTCTAGGGCTTTCAGATATAATGTTAAGTCATTTATTTGTTTATTTTTTCTTCTTTTAAGGAATGAACTCCATAGTATCCCAGAGATTTTGATTTTGATACATTGTATTTGTGTTCTCATTCACCTCTAAGAATTTTTTAATTTCCTTGATGTCTTTTTCAACCCATTATTCATTCAATAACATATTATTTATTCTCCAGATATTGGAGTAACTTTTATTTCTTATTTATCATTGATTTCTAATTTCATTCCATTATGATCTGATAGATTGCAGGTTAGTATCTCTACTTTTTTATATTTGCTAAGAGTTGCTTTGTGGCATAATATATGGTCTATTTTAGAGAAGGATCCATGTGCTGCTGAGAAGAAAGTGAATTGAAGGATGAAATAGTCTATATATGTCAATTAAGTCTAAGTTATTAATTGTATTATTGAGTTCTATAGTTTCGTTGTTCAGCTTTTGTTTAGACTATCTATCCAGAGGTGAAAGAGGTGTGTTAAAATCTCCCTGAATTATTGTGTTGTGGTCTATTTGACTCTTGAACTTGAGAAGAGTTTGTTTGATGAACGTAGACACTCCATTGTTTGGGGCATATAAATTTTTGTT